TTTTACCATTTATTCTTGACAGATTAGAGAATTTAATTTCTTTAGGTGAAACTATATTCTATTTGTATATGTTGCGACTTTCAAAATTATTTTAATTTGAAATTTTTTTTATTATACATATACGTATGAACGTAAAGATAGCTGACCGTTACCAAAAACTATGAAGTCCGTTTTACATAACAGTGTAAACGACAATCAACAACGGACTATCTCTGTGTTTAATAGTAAAATCACAAATTGTGCTTGTATCAGATACTGAGATTGGCATTTGTTCAGGAAATCAGTTCATACTGAAAGAAGAAATGTATATATGCCTTACAAACGTCTAAGCGATTGGATTCCAGTTCTAAGTGTGTCACGTCTGCGTTGCATTTGAAGTGGACAAAAAAGACGAATCTCGAGTGACACTAGTGAGCATGTGACATTCCATCTGACTTTTCCTGTTTAAACAACGGACCACTCTAATTCTAAGTTGTCATAGTTACAGAGTAATTTGACTGAGTACTAATTGTTTAAAGACTAAGAGGTGAAGGATCGATGTTTTCCGCACCCCTCCTACCATTTCTTGTTTTCTTAATTTAGCCAAACTACTGCTGGTGGCAATCTATTTATTGCCTCTAAATGTAGAATCTAATGCATGGGAGGAAATACCACATTTAAAAGTCATGTTAACTTTAAATTTTTCATTAACTTTCATCTAATACATTTAACATTTAGAAAAGCAACACTTTTTTTCTTTTCGAGATTGATACACATGGCTTGCTGAATAAATGAATAAGCCCTCCGAAAGAATCTCAAAACTTTTAACCATAAAGTACTTTTGTGAAGTGAATTGTACTTAACGATGTAAAATTTACTGTGTAAATGATGTTTGGTATCTTTTGAAATTTAAACAAGATGTAACGTGTTGATTACATATTCTTTGGAAATGTTTGCTTATTATTAACAGCTGACCAAGTATCAGTAATACACTGTAACACAGGGGAACAAAATTTTCGTATTTTAATAAATTTGCTACATACTTTGTGAATGCAGTTATCTTATTATCTGTCTTTTTGTATATTTGTATGTCATACATTATTATGTTTGTGTCGCTGGCTTATTTATAAGTGCTTATTAAAACTGTTTTGTGTGTGTCAAGTTTCCTTTGTAATTTTCCTACATGAATCATTTGCATCTTCTCGCTTTCCGGTTGCATTATACAGAGCTATCATTTCCTTCTAAACATGAATGACACTTGTGTACGTGAGGCCACAAAGGGAAATTCTAACTTGTGTCTGCTTGTTTTCCAAAGGACATTGTACATCCATCCATTTTATAACCCCTGCCTTCCTCGGGGGTGTACAGTGATCGGGATGTCCATACGTTACGCCTCGGGGGTGTACGGTGATGGGGATGTCCATACGTTACGCTTTGGGATACCCAACTGTTGCATGCATCTTCTCCTTTGTCACTGAATAAAATTTTAATGACTATCACAGATTCTGATGTCATTGTGACCTCCAATTTTATTATTTTATATCGACTTCGTAGTTCAGATTTCCCAAAGCAAAACATGTCCATTGTTATTCTTTCTATAATATCGGGACTACCCATCTCTTATTCACATTTCCTTTTAAACCATTACTATTTTTAATGATACTTTCAAGGAATCTTTATTACAAAGTGCCACTGTGACCTCCGATTTACTTGCTTGATTGGACAGAAATATTACAGTTCTTCCATAGAAATCATGAACACTGTCATACTATCTATATTATCTTGGGTGCTAATTTCTTTTTTGCAGCTCCTCGTATACCTTTTAGACACCTATTTCAGATTTCCCGTAGCAGAACATGCACACTGCCACTCTGTCTATATTATCTTCGTTACTCATTTATCTACAAATCTATACCACTGAATAAAATTTAATGTCACTTTCTCTTTATTCCATTGTGCACTTTATATTTTGATCAGACAGATGTTTGGGGTTTCACATAATAAAAAAGACGTTAAAATATGAAAGCAGCGGGTTTCACTTTGTGAGCTCACTACCGGTTACAGCACGGGCACTGGAAGTTATGTAAATATATAGTGAGTGTATGTATAAAAAAAAGAATATTAATCTTTTTAGGCAAATTGGTTTTGGGGTATTGTATAAAAATAGCCTCGATTAATCGTTCAGATATAACTTACTTTAAATTTATTTACTTTCTCTCTGCTGTCCCTTCGAAGAAAAAGATGTTTTTATACCCCCAAGTGCCTAAGAATTTTAGATTGCCTTACTTCCGCATTTATCCAAACTGAATAGAAAGGTAAGTTCTGATTGGTCAATATCATGCACATATTATATATACTATACTAATATTCTTCATTATTCCTAGAAATTATTTGTGAAAAGGCTAAAATATATAAACTGCAACTAACTCTTCAATAAACGTTGAACATACCATGACAAATAAATTGTTTCTCGCTTATATGTATATTTTTAAATTTTATTTTATTATTGACCAATCAAAACTTACCTTTTATTCAGTTTGGATAAATAAAAAGGCTAGCGAAATTCTTAGGCACATTAACTATAAAACATCTTTTGTACAAGGGACGGCATTGAAAGGAACCAAACAGTAAATATATTTAAAGTAAGTTATATTCACGATTAATCGCGTCAAGTTTTCTGAGAAAGGCCTACAATACCCCAAAACGAATTTGCCTCTGTCTTACTCTTTTGGTTATACATACACTCACTATATATTTACATTAACTTCCAGTTTTTAGCACCTTTAGTTTGCTCATGGTGTCGGTTCACAATATTAATTGCTTACAATGGATGATGTATAAAAATAGCCTCTCTTTATTCTGTATATTTTAAATTTTTAACTTTCTCTCTTTCACTCGAAAGGCATTGTTTTGCCGTGTACTTTTCATTTCCATATTCATTTACATGTAGTTACTTTTAAAGCATATTCTGTTAAACTTTAGTCACAGACACGAAGCAGATTTAGGATACTGGATCTAGAAACAACTGAAATAGTGTGTCATATAAATTTGCTTTACATGAATCTCTAACTTTCGCTTTACAATCTCCGTGCCAGTTCCATGATCCTAAGGACACAGCTTCATGTTTTGTACACAGTTAATATTTTTATTATGATGATAATCTTCATTAGATTGATTAATCATACATTTATAAACTCTGGCTTTGTTCTGTCCTGCTAGGATCAGCGAACACGCAACAGTTTTATGTGGAAAGAACCAAACATATTACAAAGCATTTTTAAAGTATGTAAAAAGCTAGTAACTTTTACTATCAGCAATCAGTGAAAAAATTGTTAGAGTTGGAGAAATTTCGATATGGAGAGCAACAGACAGACGAATTATGTTTTCTCAGCAATAGGAGTAATAGAATCATACTTACAGGTAAATCTCACTTCGTTATAAAAATTATATTGTATACAATAAGATGTATGTCTTACGTAATAAAGTGAATTGAATCTTTAAATTTAATATCTGAAAAGAAATCAATAAATATTGGGAAAACGCATATTTTCCCTTGTGTATTTATTTGGAATGGATTACACTTAAATAATAGTACACAAGTTACATAAAGTTTCTTAAAATTAATAATGAGGATTAACATTCAATTACGGGACTATGAAGTATTTCTTTCTGCAATTTTTTGGGCAATGCACAGAAATTCACAATTCAGTTTTACCGTAGTTGGTAGGCCATTTTATATATTTTCGTATTAAGACGTAAAAAGGAAGAAATGTCACGTTAGGATGCCGATATTTGTGCCATATGCTCAAACAAAATACTTTTCTTTCGCATTATTAATGATTAAATCGTACACCGTTGCGGCAGTATTCTGAATTTAATCACGAGAAATATAATGTCCATTTCAAGTGCAATATGAAATGATTACTGTAAATACTCTCGTTTTACGGATATGACATAAATAAAGATGGTCCTTTTGCATTATTTCATCATTATTGAACTCCTGGCATGTGTTCGTCTCATAATGAACTGTTTCTGTTATGTTTCGTATATAGTTTTTTTATGGACTCTCATTTATATAACACACTTGATTACATACAATAGTTAAACAAATCTGTGAATTTTTGAAGGAAGTTTGATATGTGTCATGTACATGATGTAACTAACAGAAGAATTTACAGGAAAGAGTATCAGGATGAAATACTAGACACTAATGAGAGGGAGTAGACAAGACATCAGCTTGTTACAAAGGTCATCCTGAAAGAATGAGTTTCACGACTGGGGATGCTCACTCCTCCATGGCACCTGATCCAACCTCTGATGTTTTAGAGGTCCGTGTTTGCTCTGCATCAAAATTTACACTGTTTAATGGACTTTTGAGCTTGAAAAGTGTTCGTTGTATCCATATATTTCTTACATTATGGAACAAAGCAGCCACAGAGTGCAGTGAAAGTGTGCAGCGTGTGTCGTATTTCATTTCCTTTTACATATGATAAGCATCACATTATAAGAGTGAAGTAATAATACAAGTGGCATGCTCAATGACGGCGAAACCTTCTTTTGAAACATGATAAAGTTATTCATATTTGGGTGTAGTTTGTTTTTGAAAACTTACCTTGATATTGGAATATACATGTAGAAATATCTCTCCATATTATTTGTTGTCAACATTTGCAAAATCTCGGTTATAATTTTGGAGATTATATGGTAAACCCGATGTTCTATATGTTCTATGGCGTGGGCATTCGATGAATTACATGAAGAACTTATGGTCAGCATATGGTACTTACATGTAACTGGATCTCAGTCATTGTAGATTTAATATGACAAACTTTTAGTCCCTGTATTGTAGGGACTCGATAACTTAGTATGTGTCCGTCTCGGTCTCCTTTAGAACTTATTTTCTGTTTGCTGTGGGCCTTGGTCATTGGATAATTCGGTGACTAACTTGTCCCGTATTTTGTGGGCATTCGATGAAGGTCGGTTATTGTAGAATTTTAAATGATTCAAACTTTTTATGTCCTTTAGGACGCGCTCATTCGATAAACCTCGGTTATAACAGATTTATGTAACGAATTTATGTTCAGTATGATTTTCGCCTTCTCTATATGACGAACTTTTTGATCTTATGGCGTTGGCATTCGAAGAACCTCGTTAATCGAAGAATATCTGTCTTTGCTGAATCTTTGACATACTGGTGTCTTCTTAGTTGTGGGCATTTAGAAAACCGTTATGTACAATTTTGTGAAAAATTTTCATATCTTGCAAGATTTTACTTGAATGTAGAAGTTATAAAGATTGGGTGTATGGGGTCATAAGTTTTTACTATTGTACAAACTTTTGTTTTCCGTAAGATGAGGACATTTGGAAAAACTCAGTTATTGTAGAATTATCTGACGAGAATTAATGCAAGTCTGGGTTTTGACAAATCTTATTTAAGAATTTGGTGACGCAGGAGATCTTATTTCGTCCCATTTTATATGGACATTCGATGAACTTTGGTTATTGTAGAATTTTGTGAGGAAATGTTGCGTCCGAGTTTGTTTCGGACATTTAATGTTCCTCGTTCGTAGTAAAATTCCGTGACGAAATCTTGGAAGTCTCAAAAATTGATGGCAATCGATTGATTGGTTGATTGTATAATGTGTAATTGTATATTGTTTTATGTTCGATTCGAGAATTTTTTCTCATAAAAAAGGTCACCGTATACCGGTGAAGGGCTTTACTCAGCGTTTTGGACCATTGAGCATTTATTTGTGTCAACATCTAGCAGGACACGGGGCCTCGGGTTTTTAAGGTCATCCGAAGGACCTGCAACTTTCACTTCATAGTCTGGGCACTGTACACTGTACATGTATGTGGTAGTTTTTGATATTGTAGAATTTATGTGACGAGTATGTGGTGTCTCGAATGTTGTATTCATTCGGTTAATTTAGAATATTAGTTTTGCGTCCAACTTGTCCGAAGGTTTTGCAATCAAATTTATGTATTTTTCTGCGATAAAATTAAAACTTTATTTCTTTGTTACTCAGCATCTAAGATCCAGCAATGACCAATAATCTTCGTGGGGTTAAATTTTCGTTGTTTTCGAGGTATGAAGAGACCCACGAATATATGACAACCACGGAAGTGTAAAATTTCAGATGCATTACTACTTAACATTTTCCAAAAACGAAATGAAATCCCCTCAAACCTCGAAAATTTTACCCCACGAAAATATGTGATTTTTCAGAAACATAAATCCCAATGCAATAGGACAGTTTCTACATCCACTTTACTTCGACTTTTGGTCAGTCTTATGATTACAATTCTCTGCGATTCCCATATCATACACCATAAATACATGTATGTTTCAACCTTGTGGATCGATTTGATACACATGCAGAAACACCTAATCAGCTACGCCATACAGCTCCATCGATTTATAACACAGATTGGCCCCCATACTGTGATTTCTCAACACCCAATCACACGTACATGTCTACGAACACGTCAGACTGAACCACTTCAGATTTTAATGGTGTCACGTGAACCAGTAGGGAAACAGCAACTCAACTAAATTTAGATTTCATTAACAACAATTTTTATGTAAGGTGTGAATCATTCTGCAGTGTCTTTGTGTCTTTTTAGCATGACGTGCATAACATGTTCACATGACGTATCAATAAAACATATACGTAATTCCTAGTACCTAAAAAACAATGAGGAATTACTTTTGATGAAGGCGAGGGATTGTATTTAGGCTAGAATGAACAAAATAACAATGGAAAACTCGTCGATAAATTGAATTATGCAAATTCACTTTTTAATCTCAGAACTCTGCGTACATGTATACTGTTTTTCTTCCGCTTGTGATGAGTGCGATTTTTAAATACTTAGAAGTAAAAAAAAGAAGGTGATAGGGCATGTTCACTGGCACTGTGGCCATGATTGAACGCGACTTGGAAAATCTGTCATACCCAATATTGGCTTCAGCAAAAAGCTCATGGAATGAGGGAGGCATATATATGTATATAGGATTATGTTTTATGTTTATAAGCACTCAGTTCACTAAGGTTCTCGCTGGCATTTACCGAACGTTATGTTCAACGTTATCAACAGAATATCATAATAGTTTTTTCAAAGGACAAGATGATTCATATGAGCCCAAACATAAGTAATTCATAACTTTTCGATGAAAAAACAAAAGAATAACTTTCGATCGAAATAGCAACTAGTTCTGCTCCTACAAAAATATCCCAGTCACAGTGGCGGACTCGTGTCTCGGTAAAGTAGAACTGCTGGTCGATCGATCTCTGGGCATGGAGTTGGCCTCGATCAATATTTCCTCGCAAACATTAAAACGCTAAAACCGGTCTCCAATCGCGCTGTCTAAATAGCAGCTAAATAAGGCTATATAGGTCCGCGGAGACTGCAAATGAACATCTTACTGGGCTGTTTATTTTTAACCATTTTTGTGTGATATTTACTCCTAAAACCTGACCAAATTTGTAAATTCTGAATGAAGCCAGCAGTTAAATGTCCTCATAACTACAATAAATTTTGTAAGTAGGACAATGAGGACAAAATTATTACACAATTATAATATAAAAATAAGGAGAGTGTTGAAATAGGACTCCAACTCGGAAATATGGAGATGATCAGGAAATCACAAGCTGTAAACTCTCCAATCGAAATATTATGGATTTAATTACTTTTTACTTGTAGTTTTGGCATGTTGTAATTTTTTTAATTTACCAATTGGCAGTAAATAGAAAATTTACATCATTACTGCCACTCGGTAAATTCAAAATTTATAACACGACAGTATGTTTTTAACGAAAAGTCTGCACCTTATTCTCTATTTGTCAGTTTTATTTTATTGGCAACTGTGTTATATTAATTCCATAATAACGCTGAGATGGACAAGATGGGTTTCCAATTCTCGACATTTTTGGTCATGTGGATAATGGTAGATAAGAGTCTTCTTTGACTAATGCTTGACCTTGAGAACAAAGTTTATTTCAGCATCCATACTTAAACACATCAAAAACACATATAGCCCGGGGTCCCCTCAATATTAAACACAGATTATCATATTGTAAATTTCATATACTAATATATGGAATTTCCATTGTTTGATATTGTTTGTAACTGGTGTTTTATTTTTGTAGAATTATCCATGAGGGAGGTTTTACTCCGGAGGATAATAAACAGTACAAGCCCGTGGTTTACAGCAATACAATACAGTCGTTAGTAGCCATCATACGGGCCATGGGGGCACTACATATCCATTTTGCTGATTGTGAACGAGAGGTATTTGTTTTAAAGCAAAATGTACAAAATTGTTGCATATATTACCAGTTTTTGAAAGTTTCTTTTTCGTATTCATAGTAAAAAAAACATTGTTTTTTCAGCATGTCAGAATGTATAGAAACAAGATTTGTTGTGCATGATGTACAATAAAATGATTTGTCCCTTCTTAATTCGCTTACTTGCAGTATGTTCCCAAAGACTTCCTGCAAAATTGCAATGCGCGTTTTATACATTCTCCCTATGTATTTTCAAAACACGTTTGTACACGATAGAAATAATTTTGGCATAAAGTTTAAATCTAGACAAAATAAATTAAAAGGTGTAAGCGTAATAGACTCCTCTCGGTTCGCTTTATAAATCCAGCACATTTTTGAACATGAAGAGTCGCAATCCAAATGGTGGGTAGATAATACATGGTTAAAGACAAAGGTCATGTGAAAGGCATCAATGATGTACTTAAGGAAAAAATTATCAATATTTCTTCCTCTGTACATCAAGGTAAATAGGGCGTGGTCATGTGTTTTACTGAAGGAGAGTTTATTCCAAAATATTTTTCATGCGTTCCCCGTAAAAACGGTTTGGTTAACCAGATTCCTTGCTGCACATACATACGGCTTCCCCGTTCATTATTTAGCAGGTCTGAAATATAATCACTTCTTCTCTCGTGCCTCTTAGATTTCCCCCCATTGATCGCAATTCCCAGATAAATAACAAATACATGCACTTTCATTATAGAATCATGCTGAATCACCACTAATAGAATTCTTTACAGATGTAGTTCTGAAATTGCTATATAGCAGGTGCGAAAATTGACGTATTCAAAGAAAGCTGTTTATTGTTTTGTTTTGCACGAATTAGAAGTAATTTTCCCCAAAAGCCTTAATGATAATTCTTTTATGATTTTTTCTTATGTTTGTGCATAATTTCTAAATAGGATTACACTTGTATGCATGCACATCATCAATCGGCGGAGTAGCTTTTAGCAGCCAGCTGTAGACTGATTGAGATTTCTTACGTAAATTTATTGTCAGATATACAAATCAATGAACAGCAAGGCATACTTGGCACAATTTAGAATGCGCGGGAGATGTCAACTGGTAACTATAGTAACGAGAAATCATTCATTACATTGGCCTCATTCACAGGTAGCACTGTATAGAGCATGCGCGAACAGTAGGGAAGGGGCGTGGTCGCTGTGCCATGTATTTCCGGGGGATTGTCTGTAGAAGCATTATGATTAAATACAAATCAGTAGAAACTAAGAAATTTGATAATCAATGTCAATTATTTAAAAAAAAAACCAGTATTATAACAGATATATAAAACTGAAGTTTACAAAAATATACAGTACATGTAGCATTCATGTATAATTATGCCCCCTTCGAAGAAGGGAGGGCATATTGCTTTGCTGCTGTCTGTCGGTCCATTTAGTTTCCGTTCATTTTCTTCATAACCGTTGCACATACTGAAATGAAATTTGGTATGCAGGTATATCAGATGAATAACTAGGCCAAGTTCTGTTTTGGGTACGATGGCACCATAATTGACAGAGTTATGCCCCTTGGACTTAGAAAAATTCCATATTTTTGCAGTTTCCGTTCATTTTCTTTGGAGAGGTTGCACATATTGGAATGGAATTTAGTATACAGATTAGTCAGATGAATATCTAGGTCAAGATCTGTTTTGGGTACAATCGCACCATAATTGACAGAATTATGCCCCTTGGACTTAGAAAAAATTCCAATTATTTGCAGTTTCCGTTCATTTTCTTTTGAGAGGTTGCACATATTGAAATGGAATTTAGTATACAAATTATTCAGATGAATATCTAGGTCAAGTTATGTTTTGGGTATGATCACTCCATTTTTGACAGAGATGTGCCCTTTTGGACTTAGAAAAATTCCAATTTGTGGGGGAGGGGCATAAGTGTTTTACAAACATCTCTTGTGTTTTATTAAATTCAGTCTCATTAACATCATTATATGCTCATTAACATTATTTTATAAGTATCAAGTACATCTATTTTATTTTAATACTTTTACTAATTTTCATTTTGGCTAAAAGGGTAGAGAATTCTAAAACAAACAGAATGTTTTTATTTCTCATGAGCCTTGATCATGTTGATACAAATCCTGGATTTGATCAAATATAATTTCTGAATTCTGATATATAATAGATTCCAAAATAAGTTCCTCTAGATCTACCGTCTTTTTTTCTCATTCTGTCTGACTCAGTACGTTACTATTTTGAAACACAAAACAGTAGTATTATCCTCACCTGGACATCATGTGTAATGCTGTAAATGATTAAGGGCAACAGTCCTTAGAAGCTGTGTGAATGAAAAGATAATAATAATTCATGGACAAAGGAGTACCTGTAAAAAGTTATATTGTATCTTCAATGTTTTAAGATCTGCAGACAATGATTTTTTTTGTACACAAAACACCAGTTTTTGCATTGGTTTTCTTTGAAGTCTCTAGTGGATTTTTAGAACAATTGTGTTTGATAATGCCTTGATAAATAAATTTTAAATATATAACGGTTACTCATGTCTGCTTGGTTTTAACATCATTAAGAACACTGACTTGAATTTTATAAAAAACAAAATTCTTAATTTTTTATTGTGCAAACGAAACCGATTTGCATTTACACTTAGGGAAAAGTAGCCCGTATATTCAATTTTCGGCAAAAGACATCTCATTCAAGGGTTTGAATTCTTTTTCACGAGACAGTGTTTTAATATTTTGAAAGGGAAACACATACATATGACCAGGAAATTTATCTGCACCGATCAGTTCCTTGAGAATTCCAGACAAAGAAGATTCTCTCTAATAACAATCACCTGTGAAGAGTTATTCCTTTCTTTCTCGGCGAAGTAAGGGTGGAGGGTGGTGTGAAGAGTAGTGTATGGTTGGTGAAAAAAATGAACATAAAACACCCTTGTGCTGTGAAAGCATTTGTAATTCTTAATGTCTTACAAAAGATACGCTTGAGAATACACACAGAGTACACATCTCTTTAACAAATTATCAGTTATACACGTGGAAACATTTTGTTTGCAAAATACAGGGACGATGAACGAAATATTTCAGTTTGTGGAGATATATATTAAAATTCTGTGAAAATATGAACATCTATAAAAACATGCGGTTTGTTATAAATTCATTAAAAATAAAAACACAGAAAATCTTAAAATTATTTTACTAATCTATTTTCTTTTGTGTTTCCAGTCAGACGCAAAAATCGTCCTGGATGTTATATCTCGAATGGAGGACACAGAACCCTTCTCGGAGGAACTTCTAGCGGCCATGAAGAAGCTATGGACGGACACCGGAGTCCAGGAGTGCTTCGGTCGGTCTAACGAGTACCAACTAAACGATTCTGCAAAATAGTGAGTATAAATCGGCATCAAAACAGGAAAACAGTTAGAAGTGTATGGGGTGTCAATACTTGTTTGTTTTTTTTTACCACTGTCCAGTGCATCTAGCTTGTTTTCATAATACTTCAATTATTTAGTCCGTAAATCTTAAAAAATAAGTGAGAGAAAAATGTTGGTAAAATGTAAACAAAAACTAAAGATGATAAATATAGATACGTACCGATACAACCACTTGTTTTGAGTGGAGAGAATGCAGAACACACACTAGCTGTATTGCTAGAAATCTTATTTTACAGAATGCGTGGCGCTCTCCAGTACAGCTTTAATAAATAATTTATTTCTGACAAGAAACATCTCTCCTCTTTATTTCGTTAATGCCTACCTAGACATATGTTAGAGCCGTGTAGTGAGAAGCATTAGAGCGATATTTATATTGCCATTCGCATCCTCGTCTTCTCTGTGTATTCTCTCATGAAAAGAATGAGTCAGAGAGAAGAAAGTCTTTGGAAACTTAATTTTACCTTACGTCTTTAATCAGAAAGCTCTGTGTCTTAAATAGCAGTAATTATAGTATTTTTTAAGTCCGTTTATATGATATCTCCTATTTACTAGTGTTAATGGTCCTTAAAAATGAATATCATGCTGTACTGAGTAGCAATGCTGCTGACTTTTACCATTATTAAGTGATTTTTAACTGGTTTACAGCTTTCTAGTTGACTTTTGATGATTTTTAACTGGTTTACAGCTTTCTAGTTGACTGTTGATATACTACTTTAAGTGATTTTTAACTGGTTTACAGCTTTCTAGTTGACTTTTTAATACAATTTTAAGTGGTTTTTAAGTGGTCGCAACTTTCTAGATGGCCCTTTTTATATAACACGACTAAGTGGTTTATAGTTTCCTAGCTAACTTCTTATATACCGTTTAATTTTAAGAGGTTTTATCTACTTTACAGCTTTCTATATGATCTATTTATATAACACCATTAAGTGGTTTACAAATTTCTAGATGACTCTTCATATACCATTTTAAGGGGGTTTTGACTGGTTTCTAGATGACTTTTTATATACCATTTTAACTGTTATTTTTACTGTTTACAGCTTTCTAGATGACTTTTTATATATCATTTTAACTGTTATTTTTACTGGTTTACAGCTTTCTAGATGACTTTTTATATACCATTTTAACTGTTATTTTTACTGTTTACAGCTTTCTAGGTGACTTTTTATTTTCCATTTTAACTGTTATTTTTACTGGTTTACAGCTTTCTAGATGACTTTTTATATACCATTTTAACTGGATTTTACTTATTCACAGTTTTCTAGATGACTTAGATCGCTTAGGAGCCAAGGATTACATGCCCACTGAACAAGATATACTACGAACCAGAGTAAAGACCACAGGCATTGTCGAAGTTCATTTCTCTTTTAAAAATTTAAATTTCAAGTAAGTTCTTGTTTTTATGTTTGTTTGTTGACCTTATATATTTCGTATAATATATATATAATATATAAATATATTATACGAAATATTCTTTTTTATTTTTACAAAAAACTTTTTTTTAAATAGATGATAACCTGAAATATACGATTCCAAAAGTATTGTAACACATTTAGGTCAAGTTCAAAATTGATAGTTCTTAAGGTACCTATAGGTCTTGTCACAAGAAATACACCTGTGAAACATGGAAGCCCAAATAAATAACTGTTCAAAACATGACCAAGTGAAAATTGGTCAAACTCAAAGGTCAGGGATCACAAATTTATACTGAAGGAAATGTCTTGTCATAATAAAAAAAAACGTATGAATTTTGAGAGCCCTAGCATCAACTGTTCAAAAGTTAAGACCAAGGTCATTTTTTGCATAAGTGGGTCAAACTCCCAAGTCAAGAAATCATTTATTTAAAAACCCCAAAAATGTCTTGTTTCAAGGAAAAACATATCTCCAACTAATCAAAGTTATGGATAATTGTCAATGTTTTCGTGGACAAACAGACAGAGAGACAAGGAGACAAACAGACGGTAATAAAATAATTTCTTAGTTCTTTACTTTCAAATAAATTAGTTGAATCTTATTTTAAGTATTTGGTAACTTACAGTAAATACTATAATCCTCTGAATAAGATAACCTTCCTACTTCCTTATAAGACGTAAGTCTGCTTTTTAGCAACAGCCAACATTGCTTGACAGTGGATGATATCCAAAAAGTATTGATAGTGCAGAACCTATTGTTCAGTTATATTTATTTTTAATAATATTATTTTTGAAAAAAATAACACATATATAAAAAAAAATATTTAATGAAATGTTGCACTTCATTATGGGGCAAAAACGAATTCTTTTGTCCAGTGCTGTAATATAGACCTCTGTGTTTTTACTTGCGTAGATTATTTGACGTGGGAGGACAGAGATCAGAAAGGAAAAAATGGATTCACTGTTTTGAGGATGTAACCGCCATTATATTTTGTGTAGCTATGAGTGAATATGACCAAGTTCTTCATGAAGATGAAACAACCGTAAGTAAATGTACCATTCAGATCTTGGATCCATTCCTTTCTACATGTATTCAAAGTTAATTGTCTTTTCCTGAAACCCATTGGAATCTACAACATTTAACCCCTGAAACTCGCTCGAAAATTTGTTACAGTGCGGTAGAATAAGAACTTTCAATACACAAGGAAACCCAAAATTAAAAAAAAATATCCGATTAAATGCAAGAAAAAAAATAAATATTTTTTAAATTGTTCGTTTAAAATAAATTTGTGAAGTCTCCCTTTCGCAACATCTATTTGCCTAAACTGCTCTTATGTCAATTAATAACACTAGTTTTTGAACTGCACACTAAACTTGAGAATGGCAGTTATTTCTTATTTATAAAAATAAGTGATATATTTTCTTATTTGATAAAATGCGGATATATTTACCTCTAATAGTAACGCAAAAATGAGGAGATTATTTTCCGTGTTATTTTTTAATTTTTAAAACAACCTGTAGTTTAAATTTACCTATGTACAGTGTTTTGTGGCATAATGAATGTTCACGGCATTTGCTGATAGCACTGTAAAAAAAAAAGAAGAAGCTTTGTTGTGTTTCTTGTTTACATGCAATGTGACAATTTTAATATCTCGTGCGATAAGCATTTCATTTTCTCCTATCTAATGGAGGAAATATTGGCCAGTTATATTGTAAACATTAAAGTCATTTTATTATATATAAGAGTCACGAATAATATGTTTAGCAAGTGAATAATCTAAAATAGGTAAATTTAACATATTTGAATTGAATATTAAAAAAACAAAAATAAAAAAATAAGGAAAAAAAAGAGAGAAAAAAAGAAAGAAATAATGAGACCCATGTAATAAGATTGTATATCATCTTTTTTTCAGAATCGAATGCAAGAGAGTTTGAAATTATTTGATTCTATCTGTAATAACAAATGGTTTACGGATACATCAATCATCCTTTTTCTCAACAAGAAGGATCTGTTTGAAGAAAAAATAAAGAAATCCCCTCTCACTATATGTTTTCCTGAATATACCGGTAAGTCCTCCTGATTAAATCCCTCCTCACTATACGTTTTCCTGAATATACCGGTAAGTACTCCTGATTAAATCCCCTCTCACTATATATGTTTTCCTGAATATACTGGAAAGTTCTTCTGATTACACAAAGATCGGACACCCCAGTAGCTCTGAAACTATAGCTTTAGTTTATATTGACAGACACCATAAAATTTTTTGGAGCGTGCAGTTCTAAAGCTATTTGTAAAAATGTTCTAAGAGGAGCAAGTTTTTGCTCCATGTGTGATATTTGAACACATACGAATTTAACTTCTATTACAATTGTCTAGGAATTCATTTGCACTCATAAATATATAGGGAACGAAATATACTATAAATACATTGATTTTTAAATCTTAAAGTAAACTAACATTTATTTAAATTTATCGGCGAAAATTGTAACATTTGTTGCTGAAATTTAACTTCCATAACAATTTGCTTCTGTAATTATTCCACCTCCTCCGCCCAGAAAATTTAACGCGATGCTTATTCGTGCAAGATTTCAAAATTATGTTTTTCTCTGTTTACTCTCGACATCATATAACGAACAGGTCAAGGTCTGGTTTATTGCATAATCAGGAATCATATAAAGTTTATGAAGTAATTAATTTCCGTATCCATACCTAATGGGTACTTCGACATTGTTGTAAATTTTTTACCAAACCAGATACAGTGCAAGTCTTTTTCCGACGTGTACTGCTACGTCCTTCATAACATCATATTGCTCATTTTGGTATTTGAAGCAACTTTTTAGCTCACCTGAGCCGAAGGCTCAAGTGAGCTTTTCTGATCAAAATTTGTCCGTTGTCTGTCGTTGTTGTCGTAGTCGTTGTCCTTGTTGTAAACTTTTCACATTTTCATCTTCTCAAGAACCACTGGGTCAATGTCATCCAAACTTACCATAAAGTATCCTTGAGTAAAGTGGATTCAAGTTTGTTCAAGTGAAAGGCCGCACCCTTTTTCAAGGGGATATAATTATGAATTAGAGAAAAATTAATGGCATTTTAAAAAAATCTTCTTCTCAATAACCACTGGGCCAGGAAAGATGAAACTCATGTGGAAGCATCCTCAGGTAGTGTAGATTCAAGATTGTTCAAATCATGACCCCCGGGGGTAGGGTGGGCCAAAATGGCCGATCAAAGTTTTACATAGGAATATATAGGAAAAATCTTTAAAAAATCTTCTTCTCAAGAACCACTGGGCCAGGAAAGATGAAACTCATGTGGAATCATCCTCAGGTAGTGTAGATTCAAGTTTGTTCAAATCATGCCCCCCAGGGGTAGGGAGGGGCCAAAATGGCCGATCAAAGTTTTACATAGGAATATATAGAAAAAAATCTTTAAAAATCTTCTTCTCAAGAACCACTGGGCCAGGAAAGATGAAATCATGTGGAATCATCCTCAGGTAGTGTACATTCAAATTTGTTCAAATCATGACCCCAGGGTAGGGTGGGGCCAAAATGGCCAATCAAAGTTTTACATAGGAAAATATAGGAAAAATCTTTAAAAAATCTTCTTCTCAAGAACCATACAGACAGGAAAGATAAAACTCATGTGAAATCATTCTCAGGTGGTGTAGATTCAATTTTTTTTAAATCATGACCCCCAGGGGAAGGGTGGGGCCAAAATGGCTGATCCAAGTTTTACATAGGAATATATAGGAAAAATCATTTAAAATCTTCTTCTCAAGAACTACTGGGCCAGGAAAGATGAAACTCATGTGGAATCATCCTCAGGTAGTGTAGATTCAGGTTTTTCTGAAGTTTGTTCATATCATATGGGGCCAAAGTGGCAGATCAAAGTTTTAGATAGGGATTTATAGGAAAAATCTTTAAAAATCTTCTTCTCAAGAAGTGATTAAGACAGGAAAGATAAAACTCATGTGAAATCATTCTCAGGTAGTGTGGATTCAAGTTTGTTCAAATCATGACCCCCGGGGCTAGGATAGGGTCATAATGGCTGTTAAAAGTTTTACATAGGAATATATAGGAAAAATCTTTAAAAATCTTCTTCTCAAGAACCACGGGGCCAGGAAAGATGAAACTCATGTATAATCATCCTCAGGTAGTGTAGATTCAAGTTTGTTCATATCATGACCCCCGCGGAAGGTAGGGGCCAAAATGGTTGATCAAAGTTTTTCATAAGAATATACAGGGAAATCTTTTAAAATCTCCTTCTCAAGTACTTCAAAGCCATAATTAGTGATATTTACATGAAATCATCCTCAGGTAGTGTAGATTCTAGTTTGTTCAAATCATGACCCCCTGGGGGGTTAAGATTTAAGCCCCTCTCCAAACTCAGTAAACTTTCATTTCTGATCTGATATTTGCTTTTTCCTAGCCGGTGTGCTCAGGTGAGCGCTATGGCACCTGGGCCTCTTGTTTGTTATACATTTATACCCTGATAAGGTCTTCTTTTCGTAGAATGACTTAATTTATGATAAATGTCTAGTGATTGCTTGTGGATAAGTTAATAAATCATTCGAGCGACAATTAAAAAATAAAACAGTCAGTAATTTTTTTTCTTTGTATCAATTAATCGGATTGTTTTGCTTCATTTTACGAAAGGAATTATTCTAGGATTTGTGCTCAATCGTCATGTTTTTCATGAAGTCAATATATCCATGGATAGCCTTCATAAAAGGACTATATTTGTATAGTAACCCCTTGCATATACGAAGATCCCATTTGAAATGAGCTTATTACTGATTTCATGAGTATTCCTCAGGCAAATGGCTGTACGTGTTGCTTTATTCTAATAGCAACACATTTTAGCAATACATTTTTAAAATTTTCTGTGAATATAGTCTATATATGTTCTTTAATTATTTTTGGATATATTTTATGACAATTTTACTTGGTCTTTAACCAGTCAAAAGTGCTATTTTCCATATTTACGAGGATGTCATTTTCTGCATAAATAAACATTTTTAAAGTATTTTAATTTTTATATGTATGTATGCAAAATTTATAGGCCATCATTAAGAAACTTTAAAAAAAAACTTAAAGGGACAAAACATTGATTTTACTTACATGTATGTTAATAAAAACTAATAGATACTGTTGTTATTTACACAATTAAAAAAAAAAACAAACTTCTAACAGCACTCTACGAGGGGTAATCAAAAAGTTCGCGAACTAATTGAATAACTTCCATAAAAGAAACAATATTTAGTTTCAGTGTTGATTATATTTTAAATTAGTCTTCTCCGATTTTAATGCACATCTGCCACCGTTCTGCTCATGCGCGAATCACGTGATATAGGCTGTCACGTGACCCCCTCCGTGGCGTCAGTCACAAAAGCTGACATTAAGGTTTTTCTGAGTTTTATATTTCTTTCCATGTAAGTTAATTTTTATAACAAGAATAGTTCATTTGTCAGAAATGGTCAAATCTCGGCAACAGAATGGATGGATAAGAATATCCTTTCCAAAAATAAGTATGACTACCATCAAAACCCAAATCTGTCTCGGAAGAGACGTTAATTCAAGGTGGATAGAAAATGGGTGCTTCCTTTTTATCACATCTAATATGTTTAAAATCTAAAGTAAACGATATTTTAGGTATTTAATAGTTATATTATCGTTGAAATATTCTACAATTTTTCAAAGTGTAAATTGGAGGTCTTTGATAGCAAATTGCTTTTAACAAATCTCTTTTCAAACATGCTTTCACTGGGCAACATAACAAGTATCATTTTTAACCATCTGCCTTCCATCACACAAACGATCAATCCAATCATTTATTGAATTTATAAGAAGTCATTTGTCTATATAAACTGTGTACAAATTATTATACGCTTATTCAAAGGGATTTCTAAGATACATAATACCATAATTTTTATAGTTGTTTGTTGAACGAGTACGACTGAGACAACCATTTTTCGTCACAAGTGATCTACATTGTGACGTCATTTTCACATTGTGACGTCACAAACAAGGAACAAAACTTTCTTCATCATATGCTATTTATAGAACTTGTGTATGGCTATGTGTGTACCAAATTTTTTTTATAATCTGAATGGTTTTGTAGATATAGAGATAGTTCGCGAACTTTTTGATCACCCTCGTATTCTTAATTTAACCAAAAACACGTTAACAGGTGGGCGATTAAAAATCTACGATGTAATATTAAACAATTAACACCGGAAATTGATTCATTTTGAGCCATAATCTGCATGCGACATATATTAATTCCAAAGTTATCCTTCAATACTTAAGGTATTTTGCTGTCAATTTTTACACGCTCGCTTTTCAGGAAAGTCAATAGTTTACGAACTGCAGTGTTTTCCATTTAAAGCAACACTTACATTAATAATTCTTATAGTAATTGATTGACAAGACCCCAAGGAGTTGTGTAAACAAAATCTTAAATCTTTCATCTTTTTCTAATTTAGGCCAATATAATGAAACGAAGCAAGTGGAAGGGTTATTTAAGCAATTTGACATCGAAAATTATTTTCCTTCCATAACGGATAAAATCTTTAGAGAATTATCAAAGGAGAAGAAATAATTACCTGTATATTAAACACTCAAGGAATGAATTTAAAAATTAGCCAAGTTACATAGAGCGAGTTACAGTGTGCTCTATAGAATAACGTGATAGAACAGAGGATATTCTCAATGAAATCTGTTACCATTTTTAAATCTTTCCCAGAAATCTTTGTGCAATAATGGCGAATATAAAAGCACACAAAACTTAATGTGAAAATGAAGTTCTTGCAGAGGGATAAAAATATATATATATTGAATCTTTTCTGCAATGGCCTTTGTGAAAAGATTGCACCATTTAGACTTTTAGACTGAATGTCCAACTAAGGATCACAGCAAGTGGTTTTTTTTTTATTTCCCCTTGTAAAAATCATCTCTGCCCCATAGGAATAAAAAAACAGTCAGTACAGTAGCACAATTAGTGCCCATCGGAATTCTAACTGTTTTTGGAAAATTTGGTCTCCGAAAAATCCAAAATTGTTTCACATATAATGAATTTGTTTAATATCTGAGCAAAATTAAATAAATTTTATTTCAAACAAAAATTCAATCTGAATTTTACTTTTTTCCATGTTAATAGACACATATACAGCAGGTGATATACATATCCTCCGACTCCCAATCTTTAGACTGACCGACTTACACAGGAAATAAATTTGAAATATGCATTTGTTCCAGGATGCAACAAACCAATTATCATAGTATTAGTTGCTATTTTCATACATGTAGTGTTTTTATGATGGCCCAGTGTCTGAGAGGGTGTGTAGTTTGTATCCGTATTTCTAACAAGAATTTAATTACGGTTTCCTCTTTCCAACGGATATCCAATAATTGATATTTTTTTTCACATTACACACTTACACACTGGTATTCCTACGCCTCATTGTGTTACATCAACGTATGACGTAAGAAAGCCAAATGGAAATCAAAAAAGTAAAAAAAGAAAACAAAAACTTGGATGAAAGCGTGTGATGAAGAAATTTTACATGTAAATACGTTGTGGTTGCATAACACTTTATCCATTTCTTTACGCGTTTTCTTTCCTTTTGTTATCCTTTTGCAAAGGACCGATATAGAATGTACAGTGTATTCGTTAGATAGTAATCATATCCAAACAAACAAAATGTTCAGATATGCATGTTTTCACCTATCAACATTTCAAACTAATATCATTCAATTTTGTAGGAAACCAGACGTACGAGGAAGCAGCTGCCTACATTCAGGCCCAATTCGAAGCGAAGAACAAAAGTTCAACGAAGGAAATCTATTGTCACCAGACCTGCGCAACAGATACTAATAACATCCAGTTTGTATTTGATGCCGTAACTGACGTCATAATCGCCAATAACCTGCGTGGATGTGGCTTGTACTAGACGGAGTCGAACTTTTTGCGCCTTTCTTGGACGTAAAAACTTTTTGTTCAAGAACAAAATCAAGACCATACAAGAGAACATGGACTGTCATTATACGGAATTGTTGTATGCCTGATGAATCTCACAAAGGCTTGATTCATGTGCAATTATGTTAGATGCGAGTGTCAAGGACAATTTTGTTCACTGCCTGTGGACACTCGGATCTTTACATTGGCAGAATTTCAAATTTGAACGATTTTGCTGCTCACAACATATGAATATGTACATGCACACATATATTATTGAATGCATAATGTAAGTGATAGAAATCTTCACAAAGTGATAGGTTAGGTTTATTCAATTGAGTGAAAGAAAGAGGCATTTCATAGCTCGTCAGCTGAGAGGATGTTTTACCATAGAGTCAAAGTAGATTTCCAGTTTGTAACCATGGTAAATGTATAGTACTATGCTCTTGGCCTTTTGATTGCATACCTTAGTTAGTATGTCAATAACAGATGACAGAGGTCAGAATATCATTAATCCATGGCTAATATACATCCAACTTGGTGTAATTCGTATCAAAGGCTTTGTGATTATAATTATTTGTATATGTCTATTTAAAAACAGAATGTCCATTCTTCGCTGAGTTTTTCTCAGTTTAAATGAAAATTTATTAAGTTTTCTTTTTACTAGAAAAGCAAGGCAGAGCTTATTAAGAATATCTTTCAAACAGCCTTTTTCTGAAAAGTGAACACTTGGAAGTGTTTGCTTAGAATTCTTTGTATTGTCGTTGTGTAGGTCAATTCACGTTTGAACGAATGTGTCTCCTCTGCTTGCTGTTTAGCCATCTAGTGAATGTCTGTGTTATTTATAAGCAAAGGGGAGAAAAACAATTTCCCCGTGAAAGCCCGTTCAATTTTCCTCGTATGTGTGGTATGAAATAAGCGTACTTTGTCATGAATTTAATTAGTAATTAGGATATGCTTTTTTCCAGACATTTCCGGTCTTTGCATGGTAACATGCACTCTGTTGCTTTTTTGCATATTGGGACCATGTAACTATAGCAACAGGGTCATGTTTTGAATTTACTCGTAACCCTTTGAAAGTGATATTTGATCACTGACGAACTGGTTAGAGTTTATGTTTGCTATTTCACAAAATACTAAAGTTGTGGATTCTTTTTGTATTTATAAATGTAAAGATTCCAGAATACTTTCCTTGTGGAATGGCAAACCAACATTCTCTTTGCCAAATGAATTGAATATATCGTGTTATGTGTTTATATAAGTGCTGTGTTAAAAAAAGGCAATGGAGTAATCTTCCATTTGCTATTTTTGATTGCCCATCACAGGAATATTTGTGACTATTTTACGTGTACTGTGTGTTTAAAAAACGCATAAATTGATCCTAACATACCTTTTTATTTTTCAATCAATATTGTTATTGAAATAGGCCACAGCATAATAAGTATAGAGAAATCTTAATTCACATGTGGGGGATTCCATATTATTTTGTCAGGGATTACAGACTTATTTTTTCTCAAACATAGCAAACAGCGGGGTTAATTTAAATCATTTGAATCTTTTATAAAGTGTGATTTATCCTAGTCAGTTTTTGAATACTTGTAGTCAATTTAACACACAGTTCACAGATCAATTTGAACATGAATTAAGCTGATATTTATATTGGTGTTGTTTGTCATAAAAATGAGCGTGTCGAAAACGGTTTCGTTTCCTTTTATCTAAGCAAATGAGCCGTATTCGGTAGATTTTTAACGTTCTTTGTCGCATTGAAATGGTTTCAATCTCTAGCTTGGGAAAAACTGATTGAAATTTGGCTTCATATTGATATCATTTCAATCCATGTTTTATTGCTATGTGTTGACATGTAAATCAGGGTTGATGCTTTATCAACTTTTTGGGTCATGTGATTTTTTCCTTGGTCATGTGGTCAAATTGAATTTTAGCTTGATATTCTACGTATGTCACGTGATTTTGTGACAGCTACTTGATCATTAAGTGTTAAATTGTCAATGGTATATATACATATATATATTAATATATATAATTGTGAACTTTTCATTAGAATAAACAAGACAAGTGTAGATCTGTTCCTTTAATAAACCGTACCCTGTATTGGGCCCCATTACACTCAAAATGAGGCTTCTTCGAATCATTCAACCGTGTATCAAATTACTATAAATAGAAATGTCTCTGTGTAAAACTCCATTTATCAAAATAAAGTCCTAGTATTTATCACGAACAGACTTGATTTTCTTTGTTGCACATGCGAGTGTTAGATTTTAAATTATTTTTTATTCTTGAATTTAGTAATGATAATGCGATAGAGACGTTAAGAAATATATCTAAACACTAGAAATACAGGGAGGGAGTACAGATTCAAGGGTAGTCCGATCCTCAGGTTCATAAAATAAGCAGTTAAGTTATTGAAAATGCTGACAAAAATATGTTTGAATTCACTTAGTAATGTTTATTTTATCCACATTATTTCTTCAAAGATAATCATAATAGTTAATCATATTACATAAGGAATATTAAATTTAAGCTTATAAAGGAAAAGTAAATAGATTCACCAACCATGCTTTTCTAAATTGAAATTGATAAATATATTTTAGGTTAAAAAAAACTAGAGACACTTGCCATATTAAGAAATTTGCATTTTTTATATACTAAGTATATACTTTTATGTCCACTATTTTCTTTAATTACTGTAAAAGACAAAAAAAGTGTATTTAACAAAAACAATTGTGCTTTCATTGCAAGACATCACAGATCACTTGGTTTCTAAGGTTAGGATCTGATTGTTAGGCCATTATATACACACTGCATTGTCGATGGATTTTTCTGTTATTGCCCGATCATGTCAAGGAGCACACAACTGAAGTGAACCGGTCGGCAGGGAATGCTCACTCCTCCACGGCACCAGATCCCACTTCTGATGTTTTACAGGTCTGCTCCACTCAATTTTGTAATGTTTAATGGACTTTTAAGCTTGAATATTGTTCGTTATCTCTACACAGCTCATTCAAGAAAAACGAAACGTTTCTCAAAAACTTTATTTTACTTTTTATGAGTACAAATGTTAACTTATTATACACGACCCTTTCTAAGACTTGAAGAAATCAAAGAGTCACGTTAGGATGGATAAATAATTATTGTTTCTGAAATATATGGCAATAAGAAACAGAATTTCAAGCTCAAAAGCTCATTAAACAATCTGACGCAGAGCAAACACGAACCCCCAAAACATCAAAAGTAGGACCAGGTGCCAAGAAGGAATGAACACTCCGTGCTGATCGGTCACATCTGCCGTGTGCTTCTTGTCATGATCGGGAAATATAACGGAAAATCTGTCGTCAATTCAGTGTTTTAATAATTGACTAACAATTAGTATGAAAAACGTCAGTCGGCATTTGACTCTGAGAAATTGTATTTGCTGACAAGGTCAGTGATTGACCATAGAACTTACGAAAATATGCCTTAAAACGAGACTGCTAATATTCTTGTTTCATCAACTTGTTTGTCAATAATTTACCTCGCTTTAGAAAGAACTATATGCGGTATATTGCATATATTTGCCCCCACAAAAGTCAAATTTTGAAAACTTCCTGAAATGTGCTGAATTCAATAAATTGTATGAGAAATATAAATTAACAGAAAATATTATAGTGTCAAAGCAGAGTATTCACAATTTTTGTTTTTATGACGTCACAAACTAGTCCGATTTTATATCCTTTTTCAGAAAGAGGACAAAATGGACAAAATTTCAACAATTTTAGCTTTAAAATTTATAGAGCGCAAGTTTGTTCAGGAACAATATTGACATATTTCATTGATATTATCATTTTACACATTATTTCAAAATATTGATCCTGAACACACATGCGCTTGGTGACTTTTACTCAAAATATCGACGAAATATGTACATTTTTCTGTAAAATTCATTAAAAACTGAAATTTACGTCATGTTTGTGACGTCATTACGTACATATGGCGTCATTACTTATGAAAATATTCAGTGCTTTGAAGTAAGCATATATTCCCCTGTTTAAGAACTTAATTAAATATATCTCCATCAAAGTTTGATTTGGGGGGGGGGGGGGGGGCAAATATTGGTTATTACCGAATAAAGTTCTTGTTAATATGTAGAGCATGCTCTTGCGTATCGAATCAACTGAAACACATAAACTCCGTATGCAGGTGAAGGTATATTGCTGCATATGTAAGGGAAGTTGGCGATAGAAAAGTTAAAGTCATCACGTTAATTATCGAGCTTGGTTCTTAGATTAATATCAAAATATAAATCCAAATATGAAACAGATGTGTCAGGCTCTGTGATATCTTTTATCTCAGGCTCTACGGGATATATCGTATCGACATAAGAATGGAAATTACTATTGTTAATTGACAATACGTCGTCGATATCTCTATATGCCGAGTTGAAGGTCACAGAAAGTGTTTTCTTCTTTTAACGAAGATTTTGCACAAATTCTGCTTCATACGAATACAAAAATCGATCTGCTAATAACGGGGTGCAAATGGTAATAAGGAACACTTTTGTCCAAAAACAATGTATAAGATTTTGTTATTACAAAAATAGTAAAGCAATTGGTTTGTTTTCGGAAGACCTGGCCCTAGGATAATGAAAGAAACTTAGACTTAAGTCAAATTTCCAATCTCCTTTAAAATATTCATTATTTATTGAACTAATCTCTAATTTTGCAAATGACAAAACACTTTTGTAAAACAATGTTAAGTGTTATTACAGTAAAGCAGTTTGTTTTTGGCCTGTTTGACTTCTACAATATTTTTGTACAATAGAAAGATATTGACTTATCTTAAATTGTTTCATGATCTCTGGGCCCGGTCTCGAAAACCCACATAGATATTGTCAATCAGAAGCTCAAGCATCTTTTGATGTCAACTTCAGAGTACTTGTGTGTGCAATTAGAATGTTTTTTAAGCCAAATAATTTTGCAAATGACCAATGACCAGGTAAGTAAATTTACGAGTTCTTTTTTATTGAAAACGCAGCTGTCAATGATATCAAAAAGCATGGACTTTAATTTATCGTGGGGAATGGTTGTGTATACAGTTGAAAAGTCGTAAGTTTTTAAGCTATTGATTTTGATAAAATTATGTGATTTCAAATTGTCCAAAAGTTCTTTGGAATTTTTGAGTATCCACATCTGATTCACACCACTTCTTTTTCCTTCACTGCTGTCAATATCTTAGTGAGGAATAAAGAAAGAGACTTGGTTGAACATTTACTGGAACCCGCAATGTTTTTGTTTGTAGCGATTCTTATGAAGTTTCCGAATCCAATATATATATAAATGGTAGTTCAAATTCATTTTGGTTCTTCGGGATATTAAAAATATTCAAAACTGAGATATGATTTTGTAGAATTTCTTCCTTAGAAAGGGAACTGTGACGTTGGACTACCACTGGTAGAATTAAATCCAAGTTCTTCTAATTTTTAATAGTTATGATACTGTAAATCACTTTTTAATCAATCAATCTTATATTTTCGCATAATTACGAGTATATAAATGGAAATTTAAATTCTCGCGTATAGTAGTATTCCTTATGATTATATAAAGCAATACCCAGAATTCGTGAAAATTATGTCTCGCTTATCAAGAGTCAATTACTATATCGCGAAAATAAGGTGTCGCGAAAATTTAATAATTGTGATATAAATATTAGTTGTTGAACTTATTTTTTTTACTCGACCAAAGAAAATTATAACTATTTATGAGGGCATTGATATTCGTGTTCCATCAACGTGTTTGTCAATAATTTACCTCGTTTTATAAATTCTAAATTGCGTATCGAATCAACTGAGAGATACAAAAGTCATATGTAGGTAAGAAAGTTGACAATTGAAAATTTGAAGTCATCACGATACAGCTTTGTTGTCTTGTTACAATTAACTTCTTTTTCTAGTAGATTTCCCAAATATTAAACAAATGTGCAAGGCTCTGTGGCTTTTAAATCTAATATAATAAAAAAAAAATCTGATGGATGAATGTTAAATAGGTTCTTCCACATCATGCATATTCTTAAACGTATTTTCGAAAACGTGAAATAGCTATAGTATTTTAAAATATATATATAAAGTGCAAAGATAATTGTGCTTGCTAAGTTAGGAATTGACTTTTGGTGAACAAATTGGACGATTCAACATTAAATAGTTAGCAAGTGTGGGTAAACTGTAAAGTGGTCTTGCAAGGAGTTGACGTATTTTGAGATTAGAATAGACGGCTGTTTTCCCGCAATTTTTTACTCCGGTACTCCGAAAAGGTATATCGACGACGTATTGTCAATTAGCAATGGTCATTTCCATTCCTATGTCGATACGACATATCCTGGTGAGCTTGAGATAAAAGATACCACAGAGTCTGACACATCTGTTTCATACTTGGATATTTTACTTGAAAAAGACGTTAATAGTAATCTAACAAACAAGCTCTATGATAAACGTGATGACTTTAACTTTTCTATCGGCAACTTCCCTTACTTATGCAGCAATAAACCTTCATCGCCTGCATATGGAGTTTATATATCTCAGTTGATTCGATACGCAAGGCCATTCTCTACGTATGAACAATTTCTAAGACGATATAAATTATTGAAAAACAAGTTAATGAAACAAGAATATCAGCCGTCTCGTTTAAATTCATCATTTCGTAAGTTCTATGATCGATACAATGACCTTGTCATTGAGTCAAATGCTGACTGACGTTTTTCATACTAATTGTTAGGCCATTATTTATACCCTGAATTGACGACAGATGTTTCCGTTACTTCCCTATCATGACAAGAAGCACACGGCGGGTGTGACCGGTCGGCAGGGGATGCTCACTCCTCCATGACACCTGATCCCACCTATGATGTTTTGGGGGTCCGTGTTTGCTCTGATCCTATTTTGTATTGTTTTATGGACTTTGATATTGAATGCTGTTCATTATCTCCATATCCTATATTCAAGCAAGGCCATTATTTACAAAATAGTTTGGTTGCCCTCTCCCGACCGATTGGCAGAAAATGGTCCGACTCTTAAAACGCTTTTTTTAACCTTCAGCTCTTCAGATGCAATTAATTTTTATGTATTTGGGAATATATTTTTAACAAGAGGCCCATGGGCCTTATAGGTCACCTGAGTATCCCGTAACAACTTTCCAACAAGTGAATTTGGTTCGGCACCCACCCCATTTGATTCGCTGGGGCCACATATTT